GGGAGAAGTAGAGACAAAGCAGGAAGATGAGCAGGAAATCCATCCAACAAGATCTACTCATGGCCGCCAGAAGATAGCAGATGGACAAGACAAAAACAAATTAAGCTCTGTTGCTATGGGCAGCAAGCAGGGTTAACTTCACGTAAGACCTTCTAGAGCGGTGCTCCTCATTGAGCCACCACCAAACAAGACCACACAACTCCAAGAAACACACAGCAAGCATCTCCCCACAGCAGTAAGAGCCTTCAGCAGAAGCCTTGGGGTGAGGTCATGGGTCCACAGCCCCTACTGCAGGCAGCACAGAAGCTCCATAGGGATGGCCAGGACACCAGAAAACCCTCAGTGAGATAACCGCTCTTGTCATGTGCATGGTGGTGGGGAGTCTCTATAGCACAGTACTCGCTGCTCCTCCCTGCACAAAAAGATGCTCAGACATCCCATAAGAACACCACAGGAGCTGGAAAAAGGGGACAACACATTGTCTCTCTCTCTCTCTTTTTTTTTTTTTTTTTAAAAGGAGCTGTGGTGTCATCTTGCTTTATTTTTTAACATTGCAGCCTGCAGGCAGGAGGACTCTGTTGCCAGGGAAACTGCTGCAAAGGTGCACAGGGCTGCTGCCCATAGCAAGGCAGGGAAGTGCCTGCTGGCATCAGGAGAACCCACAGAAGCTGCCCCAAGCCAGGATGCAATGCAAGCAGCAGTGAGGCAAGCAGCTGCTCCACCTCCCCCAGGTTCACCCCTTACTCTCTTGCCCACAGAGGAGGACGGGGTGGAACAGCACCTATTTATTTGTCTTATTATAAAGGAGGCTCTACTCTTTTTAAAATTTTCTTTTTAGATGGCTGCCATCAGTAGAATTATGGTTGCAATTTACAATAATCTATTTGAAACAAGGGTTTGATTAGTTAATGCACTTGTTGTTGTTCTCTTCTAATTTGATCAGGAGGGAAGTGGGAGGGCTCCGTTTGCATGCTGCAGCTCTCATGCTGGGTGCAAACAGCAAACCCATCCCTGCTCCTCACCTGTTTCCACCAGGCTGCATGCACACCCTGTTGCATTCCAGCAGTAGAACCAAGCAGAAATTTCAAACTTGCTACAGCCAGGAGGATCCCAAGTCTCTCTGATCCATAGCCAGCCCCATAACTTCCCAGGGGTCAGCTGAAGACATCGCAGGGATGGAGGAATAAAATAGCACTGGGGTGCCCTTAGCTGACTGCTTGGGGGTTACAGGGCTGGCTATGGATCTCCTGTAGACTTTCTGCATCCTTTTCCCTTCCTGCTCATTCTATCTCCATTCCTTCTCCACCCACCTCTCCCCATCCCCGAAGTTCCATGCTGTAATTCTCAACACTGTGTACCTAGACAGAAAGGCTGTGTCACCTTCCTCTGCTGTTCAAAGTGGGCAAGCTTACGCACACTGTATTAAAGGGAGAGGGGGAAAAAAAAAAACTTTACAAATCCATCTTTTTAAGGACTTTGTACATCCCACCTGCTCGCAAAGCATTCTTGGGAGAAATCTGGATATTGCAATTGACATTACCTGGTGCAATAATTAGGAGCTGTATTTACAGCCATGATACCATTTTAATGCTGTTTTGCATCTGCTGTGCTTCCACTTAGAGAGCAAATGTAGTGGGGAACATCTGTTTTCCACTGCTATCTGATGTGACAATCCCCGGCCAGTGATTTTACCTCCATTACAATGGGATTTAATTATTGCAATTACTGTCACAGAGCGATGTCCCTGCAGCAACAGGTACAAGGCCTGGCCCAGCTTTCCAAGCAGATGACATTGCCTAGCTCTGCTCCTTTTTATTTCACTCACTGCAATAACACATGGAAGAAATGAAAGTTCTGAAGCAGATGTTGCTTCTGCTTTGCATGGAGGTGCCATCATCAGCCCAGGAAGCACACCTGGGACTTCGTTCCCCACAGCCAAGGTGTTTCTACATTCACTGACACACGAGGAGATTTGGGGCAGTTCATGTTTTTCTCAGGAGACCCAGCAGGATGCAAGGATCTTGAGGGTGCCATCAGGTCTCCAGACCACATTGCACAATAGATCTGTTACTTCCTGCAAGGCACCTTCCTTAGCTCCAATTATTTGCCCTTGTACTCACATAACCACTAATTAGAGGTCACATTAAGTCCTGCCATAAGACTACAACTGAAGAACAGCCCAGAGCTCCATCTGAACAAAGTTGGCACCCCAGGCCAACCCTGACATCAGTGCTCTCTCTCCCAGTACCTTCAAGAATACTAAAAAAGCAGCAGCAGTGACCAAGGAAAGCCATCCCCAGTCTCCTGGCTGAGCATCTTGCAGCCCAGCACCTCCCTTCCTATTCTCTGCTCATAGAAATAATTATTGCAGAAGAGTTTCCCACCCAAACCAAAGCCAAGATCACTCTGATGGTTCCCAATATCCCCTTGCTCCAACACCAGTTTGTCAAAGGAAGGGCAATTGATGCTGTCTATCAGGAATTTTACAAGGCTTTTAACATGGTCTTGCACCACATCCTTATCTCTAAATTGGGAAAACGTGGATGCGAAGGCTGGAGTATTTGCTGGTTAAGGAATTGGTTGGATGGCTGCAGCCAGAGGGCTGTGCTTAACAGCTCTGCAACCAGGTGGAGGGGGGGATCACAAGTGGTGTCCCCCAGGGATTTATGTTGGATTGATGCTGCTCTGCAATGACACAGATAGTGGGATTGAGTGCACTCTCAGTGGTTTACTGATGGCACCAAGTGGAGTGGTGCAGAAACAGAAAAGATAGCATTCAGAGAGATCTGGACAGGCTTGGAGAGTAGGCACATGAGAATCTGCTGGTGTTCAAGAAAACCAAATGCCATTCCATGATTCCCCTGCAAAACACCTCCACACCCAACACAGAGGGACTCGTCCTCCTGCTGAGCTGCTCTGCCATCTCCTTCTGAGCAGATTTTGGTGACCTGTCAGCACTGAGCTAACACGCCAGGGAAGTCACTTCAAACCAGGTTTAGAAGTACATTAGCAATTGTCCACCTGCTGATTCACTTGAGGAAGGGCAAATGCTGTGTCATCTGACACACAGCAGGGGTTTGGAAGCAGGAAGTCGCTGGTCATTCCTAGACACATCCATATGAATATATATATATAGTACAGAAGTGTACATGTGCATTTAATTCAGTTTTATCTTCCCTAACACACGCCAAGAAATCCTCACCACCAGAGGGCTCCCACACCTCCTCCCACCCCTGGTTCCTACTGATTTCTCAGTCAAACCTCTCGTTGGGCAAAGTGTTCTTATTTGGCACACCCCAACACTCTTGTGTATTGGATCTAAGCATGTGATTCCCCTCTTACTGCATCACTGCGAGTCAAGCATCTTTCAGCCTAGTACAGGGATGGTGGTCTAGAAAAATGGCATCAGTGCAAAGAGACCTTTGAGTCACCACAGTGACTGGCTATGAGGACACGGCCCCACTCATTTCAGAACGACAGAAACAGTGCTATGCCACAAAAGCTGTTAGCAAACAGCAGCAGCTTGAACTATGAAAACCATTCTGGCTGAGGAGAGTTAGGGTCATGTAGGTTTCTCCACCCATAAAGCCAACAGAAGGCTCTTAGTTTATTTAGGTCAATTAACTTCAGCTTTCAAATTAAGTTCTCATCTCATTTTACAGACAAGCTGTGAGCAAAGCATGGGGGGGGGGGGGGTTCAGCTGAGGAGAACACAGCCCAGGATTTCCAGACTTAATTTAAACCCAAAGGGTAAAAAGAAAATTGAGATCAGAGAAGAGCACAGAGCACCTCACAAGTGCTTCCATCTTTGCTTCTTCTCTGCTCCGTTCATTGAGCTCACAGGCCAGGAAAAGGCAGAAAGGAGCGGTGCAGAGGAAGCCATTTGTGGTACACAACAACACATTTTATTGCTCTCACGCACCCGAGAATGATGCTTCACATTCTTGAGTGCCATCTACTGGCATTTTTATCTCTTTGCTATATATTAAACCCAACCCCAGTGCTGAAAGAGCAGTCAGGTTGCGGTCAAGCACTTGGAAGTAGAAAAATGCCAAAATCTGGGCTGTGCACCAAATCCTGACCCCATCCCCTCTCATAGATCCATCAGAACACATTGCCTAACAATGGCCACGCACCACTTCCTGCATGAAAAAGCCCCATCCGCACACCAGATGGATAGTGCTCTCCTAATGAGCAGCTATTCAATATTTTTCTTTATCCTCATCACTCAACACGTAGCTCCACGTCCTGTGCATGGCATGCAATTGAAGTCCTGCTCTAAATAATGAGCTATTAATTTTCTCCTGGGCTTTCCCAGCATTTATTATTGTAGCATCCGAGTGGTTTGCAAACATTAATTTGCCTCACAACAGCCCCATGAGGAAGGGTGGAATTATTCTCCTGCAGATGGGAGACCGAGGGATGGCCACAGCGAAGCCAGAAGGGTTCAATGCACCCCAAAGTTTGGGGTGCAGTTTTTCCAATAGGGAAAAGGCTTGAATCCCATTCCAGGGCTGGTGTAGCCATTCATTCTGCCCTAATGGGAAATTTCCCAGCTCACAATCACTATTGCCATTCTGCTTCATACATCCAGCAGAACTGCAAGACCATTTCAAGGTTCAAAAATCATTATTTTTTGTATTCAGAGACAGCAGTACTGCTCGTTTGCATCATGACAATATTACATTTCCTCATTACTTTCCATCTCTTCCACCTCTTCAGATCTTATTTGCATTTTTGATCAGACCCGAGCACCGAGGAGATGCCTGCAGGGAGATGGCTGTAACAGTGCCCAGGTCTTTTTCCTGGGCTGAATCAATTAATTTGCACCTCTAGGAATAAAATTATTTTTCTCCCCTGCAATGTGTACGATCCCTCCCAGTTTTCTTCAGTAAGAGAGGGGGAGAACCAGGCTTTGAAGTGCAAAGTCATATGTGTAAATCATCATCATCTCCTGCAGCGAGAGCTGTGTGCTGCCATCCCAGGTGGGCACACCTTACCTGGGCAGGAGGGGCCATGGCACCAATCTGCTCTGCTCATCCTCCCTGTGGGTCCACAGTGCTCAGCCCTGTGGAATATTCAATGGAATGTTCAGTGAGACCAAACCACTCCATGTCTGAGCATCAGGCCAGCCCCACCACCCAGCATCTGTCCACGTTTTAAGCTTCTATCTCACAGCTGGAAGCTACAAGATGCTTCACAACACCTCACTGTAAAGTGAAACTCAGGACAGGGGCTGCCTGCAGGTCTGGGAGGCATTTTATTGAGTCAAGGATCTCCAGCCCAACTTCCCCTTGCACTGCTGCAACACTCAGAGTTGTGTTTTATCCTCTGTTAAGCATCATCCCATAGCAACCTGCATGGGAGTCCTTTCATTGACTGAAGGTGTTCAGCTGGCTATGCCAGCCACACATTTTCTTTCTCATATCATAGAAACATTACTGTCAACCAACCCCAGTCCACCCCCACCACGCCCACACCCCTCAGTGCCTCATCTCCTGAACACCTCCTAGGATGGTGACTCCACCATCTCCCCATTCAGCTGTGCTGAAGTCTCATCACACCTTCTGGAGGAAAATTTCTCCTAGTATCCCATCTGAATCTCTCCCAGCACAACTTAAGGTCCATCTCCATTATCCAGGAGCAGAGACCAACCCTCACCTCACCACAACCTCCTTCAGGAAGTTATAGAGAGCAGTGAGGTCTCATCTTCTCCAAAACACTGCTTCTCTAAACAAGAGATTAAAACAAGAAAACACACAAACCAAAACCACAAAACCAACATACCCCAGTTCCTCCTAGGAGCAATCACTCCTCACCTTACACAAACACTGAGTAGCACTGTCCTCTACCTACAGCCAACAGTGATTCTTGTAGTGACCAAATTAGTACCGAGCATTATGGGCTGGATGACTTTCAGCTGTGAATGCTGCTTGTGAACCTCAAATGTTGGCCATTCCCTTTTTGCTATTTCCCTTTTCCACCCCATGCCATGCTTCCTACATCACATCACAACCCCCACCTCCCAGCTGTGTCCCAGGGGGCGTGGATCCCCAATCCAAGGGACTTGGCTTCCCGATCTGTGCTTTCACAGAGATCCCTACAAACACATCCCAATTATTTGCACAGCCTTTCTCCTGCAGATCCCTGCACGGTGTTCTGCAGGTTCCCAGTTGGTTTTGGCTCGTCGACCTGGCACCATCCTCCTGGTGGACAACAGAGGTGCTGGGAGCTGGGACTGTGTGCCTCAGTTTCCCTCCCACAAAACAGCACAGCCACACTTTGGAGGGGCTGTGACACCTCTGGATGCAGCACAGCCTCTGACCTCAAGCAAAGCAAATCAAAAGGGAAGTTCCCCTTCTCAGACAAGGTCAGGGCACACCACCTAGATTGAACTCTGTAGAAAATAGTTAATTAATCTCTCTTGCCGTGGCCTAATTCTCTTTTCAACATGTGGCTGTCACTTCCCTGTCATCACAGCTGATTTACAATGGGGTTTAATTAAATCCTCTGTACATTATTCAGCATTCTCTGAAGACAACACCAAAGCAGCCAAGGGTATTTAAAATGTCACCTGCTGAGACGTATCATCTTCTTCTAAATAAATATGACAGTGATCAAACTTTGGCTAATTACGGTGACTTCGTTATTTGTTTGTATGTTTTAATATTTAATTGCTTTCGTGTTCATCCAATTACAAAGCAACAGCAAATAGAAATTAACTTTTTATCAGCGTGTTCCCAGCCCAGCTAATCAGCACTTCAAAGGCCAGGCACAATAGGAGGCCATCCAACCTGAGAGTGCTTTACAATATATTCTCTGCTGAATGGACCGTTCGATTAAATTAAGGCAGAATTGTGTTTGTCAGTGTATTCCCAGCTCCCACCCAGATTCCCTTTATGCGGTCGTTTATGGGCCTCGCTGTGGCATCCTTGCAGCAGGGCAGTAAATTGTTTGCATTGCTCCTGCCCTCATTCAGGCAGCGCTGGTTGCAGCCTGAGGTATTGGTGTTAGCTCTGCATCAGCAGAGGAATAGCCCACTGCTATTGTGCTTGGACGTGCAATGGGTGCACCTGCACTGGCTCCTGTTTCTTCCCTGGGAGGTCTGCATCCATTCTAGCAACGAGCAAGGGAAAGCAGCAAAAAAACCCCAAACCTCGAGGGTGCATAACCATGACAGGGTGATTTTTGCCAGTGCAACCATTAAGGTTGGATAGACTGCTAAGGTCATCCATTCCAACCATCAACCCATCTGTTCATACCACTAATCACATCCCTCATTGTGATATCCACCCTTTTCTTGAGCATCTTCAGGGACTGTGACTCCACCACCTCCGTTGGCAGCCTGTGCCAATGCCTGACCAGTCTGACCACTGACCAGTAAACTACTTACATTGTCAGAAATACAACGTGGAAACAGAGAGGTTAAGCAAAGCTGGTTTGCCTCTGCATATCTCCTGTGAAGTGGAAACTTGCAGCAAAGAGTGATTTAGGGTCAAAGAAAAGAGATAAATGGCACATCTGCCTAACATCAGGGAAGAAATACAGCCAGACAAGCACATGCATAAATGACCCACATTAAAGAGAATTGATCTGTGTTGTATCAGTCCTGCCTGCACTGCCTCATTATTATCGCTGCAAACAGCCAAGCCTTTTAGTTACCACAATAAAGGTCTGGACAAGAGACTGGGGGTTGTGCCACAAACAAACATGGCTTTTGAAGCAGCCTATGTAATAATGAGAATAACAAAGTGCAATCTCCTCATTTAAAAAATGAAACCGAACAAATGATGCACACACAAACCCAGGCCATGGTTAGAGGCATTCACAAATTCCAACATGATCCTCCAAACCTTGCCTCGCTGTCCCCTGGAGTTCATAGGAGATCTCTCAATGTAAGCATGAGGGGTAAGGAAATCATGCGTTCGCACAACAGAAGACTGGAGCAGTTGTGAGGCTCCTTGTTGCATGGGCCAACGTCCCTTAAGCAAGTAGTATGAGAAATGAAAGACTCAAAGAGCCATGGGCAACTACAGGTCCTCAGGGCAACAGGAGGTGCTGCAGCGATCACCATGCCTTGGTCTAATTTATTTATCCAGCACTACTGCAGTAAGAGCACGGGAAAAGAAAAAGATGACGTAGACCTGTTTCTCTAGGGAGGAAGGGGGTGGTTCATATTGGATATCTGGGACAATTTATTCTCCAAAAGAGTGGTGATGCAGTGGCACAGCTGCCCAAGGAATGATGGAGTCCCCATTCCTGGTGGTGTTCCAGAACCATGGAGATGGGGCACTGAGGGATGGTCAGTGGGCACGGTGGGTTGGGTTGGGGATCTTACAGGTCTTTTCCAACATTAATGATTCAATGATTCTATTCTATGATTCTCTGTATTGCAGAAAGAACTCATCTTTATCCCTACAGCACTGGGGATCAGCGCCAGGGAGGCACCACCTCTATGAGAACGCTGTGACACAGCTTTGCATAGGAATTCCCAGTGTGGGGAAAAATTACGCTGGGAAAAGGAATAAGAAAGTACTTTTATCAGATGTTTTTTATTAAAAAAAACCACCAAAACACAACATTTTCCCCACTGAGAAACAACTTTGCGGTTAATTTTAGGCTTATCTCATGAAATATTCAATGAACAAAGAAATGTGTTGGAAATACTTTGATTTTATTGAAATAAAATATTTAATTTGACCCAAAATGCTTTTTCAGTTTTATTGGATCTCCGAGACTGGTTTCATTTGAGAAATCAAACATTGCAGAGCTTTTCATGCAAACAGCAGATCTAAATCCAGCCCGGCTTCGATACCAACTTATTCACCAAAGTGACTTTCAATGGCTTTTGTTGTCATAATTTTTCTCCTGCAAAGTGATAGCATTCATTAAAGGACAGGCAAACCAGGCTCACCCCAAGGAGGAAGCTGAATTACTTTGATGGGTCCTTTGAAAGAGCTGAGTGATGAGCACACTGGCAGCAATGCAGAGGTTTGGGCTGGGAGGAGAGGAGCCCAGAAGAAATGCAGAAATATGCGTATGAAGAAAAACAGAAACTTTCTGCTTTGATGAAAAAATCCGAGCATTTTGAAGTCTATGCACAAAGACTACAGCAAAATTTACTGCCAGTGACATGAGAAGGGGCAGCTAAGGAAAAATAAACTTCCAGCTGGAAAGACATGTTCGGCATCACAGAAAAGTCACATTTTTCTCAATAGAAAGAGGATGGGAAAAACCAGTTGAAAGGCTTCAAAACGTTTAATTCCAAACAGATTCTTGAGATACAGAGCTTTCAATCAGGAAACTGAAAAGCAAAAATATCCCATTTTTTCCTGGCTAGGACTAGGGCCATATTCACCATGGCTAGGAGCCATCACTGCGAAGGCCGTAGGGAAACACGAAGAGCTGTTCTCATCCTACAGGACAGATGGGGACAGTGGCTTCACAGCACTGCTGGGCTCTACCTGACATGGCCATGGGGTTTTTACATAAAAACACGCCACACCACTTCAGTTAATTCCCAGCAAAATCCTGTTTTGAATCACTTCAGTATCACTTGACAAAGAAACCGCTGGAGAAAGCTCTGAAGTCACCACGTATCGTCTTCTAGCACAGAGTTCTCCCATATACACACAGCTTGGAGGGAATCCATGTCCTCAGGCTTAAGCTAACTGCAAACCGAAACACAAAACCCCAGGCTCAGCCACCAAAGCCAGCTTGGACCAAACCAAAGGCTTCAGCTGGCGCAGCCCCTTCCCTCTGTGACTCGCTGGAATTTCAAATTATGATTTAACATCTCCATCTGGGCCAAGAACAGTACCGATATTATTATTATTGCTGTAGCTCAATCTTGAATGTTTTCCAGGGTGGCAAAGATTTCTCTCACTCAGTTTTATCGCTTAGTTCCTGCATTTTTCAGCTCTAATAAATAAGGTGACCAAGTCAAGGGCATATATCCGGATTTCTGAAGCTGCCATGTCATCGAAACCTACGAAATAATAACACGTATACTGGAGATAGCATGAGAACTGTTCCCCTTGGCTCTCCATTTCTTCATTCTTGGGCCTTTGGTCCAACTTTTGAATTGGGTCCTGGATCCCAGAGCGAGAAGATCACAGAAGAATCTCAGCTCTCGTTCACTTAGAACCAAATTTCTAACCTTTGTGCTGCAGAGAAAGATAAGGCTTCGGACTTCAGGAAGAAAAAAATCAGTTGGGATGGTTTAGAAGAGATCCATTGGTGAAGTCCATAACTTGGAGGAGCCCCAGGGACATGAGGGCTGTGACCTCCTGCACTGGGCTCCAGCAGTGCTCTGTGCCAAGGCTTTTTCAGAAAGAAAAGCTGCCAGGAAAACCAGAATCCGTGACACAGAAAGGGACGGATCGCCCTCCAACACACAAAAAGAAATCAAAGTGAGTGCTTTGCATACAAGCCTTGCATTTGCAATTCTGATGCTCTAATAGGAAATGGCTCCCAGCTGGGGGAGGGGTAGACAGGAAATATTACAACTATGTTATTTTGTTACACTAATTACCAATAATGGCACATACTAGGGTACCAACCACAGTCAATTCATTTTGAAAGCTATATAATAATGTTTAGGATAAAGGAATTAATTTTTATAGCCACTGAAGCAGATTTACTTGTACTGTAATGCAGATTTATTACAAATTAAATTTCCTAACTCAAAGTTGGAGAGGCTCAGCAGGACCTGAGGGGACGTGCACCCTGTTGTATGAAGGAGCTTCTGCTGCTTCAGGGCTCGTGTCTGCAGGCCATTTGTTAGCACAAGGGTTTGGATGTACCCTACAGC